TGAAAACAAAGATAGAAAGGCAAGCAGATAGGTATACGCTTACTTTCGTTATTGTGAAGTCTCCGACTGAGAAAAAAAAATCTTCACTATAGCTTATATTGAGAGAATACTATATGTACTTAACTATATCAACTAGAAGTTTAATAATTCCAGAATTCATTATATCGAATCTTCACTTTAACGAGGGTGAGGTGTATTTTGTAAAATTATGAAACTACTCAAGCCTAACAAGTTAAAATCAAAAATTTAAAAATCAAAAATTTTTAATCATCAAAAAAATTGTAAAAAAATTTAGATTTTACTTATATACAAATAGGTTTATTTACCTATTAGCTATTGTAGATGCCAATAAATCTAAAATAATATGTTTTCATTCTCAATTTTATGATGAATTTATAGTTTATACAGCATAATAATACAATATTACTGCAAATTTTTGCTAAAAATATATAATATATATATATATATATATCCTTAATCGGCCCGGCCCATGAAGTTACGAGTCGGCCCTCGAACCGCCGTCGGCCTATATCACTACTTTCTATATTTGCTTTCACATTTTCCTAAATTTGCAGACTATTATAAATTATATATTGTAATAAATGCGTAATGCAGCTCCAACAATATTTGAAATTTTGAATGGTACAAACCTTCCAATGAGCATAGTAATCCTGTAATAGCGCTAATAATGGTGTGGACTTAATGAAAGAAAATCACTATGACTATACTAGTTTAGAGATCATTAATTTAATTAGACGATCAATTACACCAAAAATGAAAAGGTTATAAAACTAATTCATTACTGATTACGTGAGTGGATTACATGTTATATATAACATTGAATCCTGTGATATTATTGGCTGATTTTTTCTTTTTTTGCAAAATAGTCGGCCCGGTCCGGTCGACCGGGCCGCACTATATTAGTGTCAGCTTTAACCAATGTTGTTGTTGGCATATCACTAGTTGTTAACTAATTTAGGATCAGATTTTAATTAAAGGTCGGACTGACTTCTTAAAATCCCTAATTTCTAATGCTAACACTAATTATTATCCGAGTTTATATAATCATATGAATTTTTTTGCTTTGATGTTTTTGCAAGAAATTCACGGGAAAACTTCACATGGTCATATAATATATCGGAAAACATCAATATTGGGCATCCTATAAATAATAGAAATTTTTTTCATCAGATTAATCACAGGTCGAATGAAGCAAATTTGGCTCCAACCGGCATTACATAATCCCTATATGAAATTGATTTGAAACAGATATTTTTGGCGAAAATAGGAGACTTTTAGGATACAAATCGGGCTTATATAGGCGTTCAACACATTTCGGAATGCCGATGGCTCTATAGGTAAAATCGATAAATATAAATTATTATTGCCCGATCAGAGATTTTATTGCTAAAGCGAAGAAATTACATTTAGGAATAGGTCCACAATACCGATCTTGCCACTAAAGCTAGAGGGAAACTCAGTTCATATGGCCCCAATCCTTCAGACCCTAGTGCTAAGCCACCTGAGTCGAAGGTCATCATTCAATCCAACAATACCTTATCATTACCTTACCCCAAGGTATCGCTTAAGACTAATCCTCCGACTTAACTGCGAAATTAGAAAAACCCTCACGAGGGGAAAGAAACTTTTTTTAGCTTACCGTATAAGCGCGTAATAACGCGCATGCGCGATAATTCGAATCATTATGCTAATTTTGAAAAAAATTTCAACTACTTTCTTGAAAGATAATATGGCACATATAGAAGGGCGCGTTATTTTGAGACGCACATGGGCGTTATTTTGAGTCAAATATGGCATTTTTAAAAAAATCGAAATTTCGAAATAACGCCCATGTGCGTTATTACGCGCTTATACGGTACATAGCTATTTTCAGAGAATCGACCTTGTAATTATTCATTGAGTATGGTTCTTGCATTACATTAATGCAGCGCTATTCTAGGCCGCCGAGCCACTTAACAAAGAAAACGACGGTCGGGCAGGGAGGGTCGATAGAACCAGCCTTGTTATGGTGAGCGATAGCGAACAGAAGAATACCCGAATTACCCTGTAGATAACTGTTCTTAAATATCCTTAATATTAATCATTCCCACATTTCCCATTTGATATAATATGCATAATCATACTCCTTAACTAGCATCATACTCCTTAATCAACTTCATTATTGCTCATTACCGGTTTATTGACTTTTTAAGAACAACAATTAAGATAACCATGTGCATTCATGGATTTCCCACAATACCTGTATCCGACAAGATACTAAGAAACATTATGCATATGTACTCCTAGGAATGGGTTCGGTCAGCTATTTTCGGTTTGGCCGTTTTATAGCCGGTTAGCGTTAGCTATCGTCCAAATTGGATAACTGGATCACGAGATAGCTAACTGGTTATAAAACGGCTAAGACGAAAATAGCTGACCGAACCCATCCCTACATAAAAGGCTAAAAACTGATTTACATGTGATCCGCAATAAAGTCTCTTGATCTCGCAATAATGATTGCTTTGTCACTTCGTTGACAAGCTGATCAGTATGCTTTAGCGATTTACAAATAGATTTATCTGCATTCTGATATGTATTGAAACCAGAGACACGGGAAAAATGCGATTTATTAAGGACTTGAAATTCCTATAAATAAAAATCGCAGTTTTCCCGTGTCCTTGATTGAAACACATATATGAGCCTGATTTGTGTCCTAATAGTCTCCTATTTGCGCCTTAATATCAGGTTCAAATCAAATTCATATAGGGATTACGTGATTACGTGATGTCTGTTGGAGAATTTGCCTTCATTCGACCAAAATCTCGGCAACAAACAATTATTAAGTTCATTTAAATTAGCTTAGGGTTAGGTGAGTGTATAAGTTAGGGTTTAACCGATTATATAATATTGTTCAAGTGAAACTTTTTTTGATTGTCGGGATTTGTCAGGATTTTGTGAATGTTAATCATACGATGTTAATCCAAACTATTATAGTTTGTGGTTTTCCAAATCCCAAACTCTGGCCAAACCAATATCAAAAATTTTATACCTTTATTTAAATAAATGGTACAGTTGTGTATAATATATTTACAAAATATCAAGATATTTTTTGAATTTGAGATGCCGGGTTTTACCGGTAATTATACATGAGAGTATCTTTAACTCTTGGTGTTCTCAAGCACCTCACTCGATGGAACAGAGGTGAATTTTTAATTAATCGGAAATTGAATAAATTAACCAAGTGAGTTACCATTTCGATGAACAAATCTCAAAAATTTACCATTGATATAGGTCGCTCAAGCATTACTTTTACATTTTTTGCATATCAAGCATAATAAACAACTAATTTCTAGCCGGTCTAAAAAAATTGCCACTTTATATTTAATGTTCAACCTTTTAAACCAAATAATCGATACCTTGATACGAATATAATAAATACGCACATCTTTTAACCTTTATAAAACTATAATGAATACTGTTATTCCGTTTTTCACTCTATATTTAACGGATAATGAAGTCATAACTCTTTTCGGAAATATTTTTGTATTATTTATGCTGCTTACAGTGCGAAGCAGCAATTGCGGAATTACTAAAAGCTATCTATAAACAAAAATTTTTAAAACGTAAATTAACGAAAAAGGGTTACCCTTGTTGCCATAAAGTAACTTCGCTAACGACTTCATAGGTTGATTACGTTGCTGTTGCAACAAAAAATTTTAATTGGTAAAATCATCAAAAGGAGAGCCTGCGCAACTGTAATTAAGCTTCGGCAGCTGAGTGAATAGAAATTTTTTATTAGTTTCTTCAGAAGGCATGGCGATAATTATGAAAATTAGTAAGAGTACACTCAGCATTTACTATAAATGTCGTCATTGATTATGTTGCTCGAGCGTTGTCATGATCATTATTTAATCAATTTAATGAGATGCTTGAAAACACTCCTATGAAAAAAAAAAAATTTATATTTTCTTGCTTCAATTATAACAAATTATATTAAAATGAAATTCTATTTAATTCCAGGAAATCGTAAAATCATCCGTCTCTCATATGATATTGTCATAAAAGTAAGCCAAGCATTAAGAACATTCTAAATGATTCGCAAATCACAAAAAACTCTCAATCTTTTTACGGTAAAGATACTAATGGGTTGACCTAATTTAGTAATCCGATATTCGATTACGAAATGGGTTGGAAAATAGTTATTAAATTGGCTCGCATTCTGGAAATCATTTCAAGTAGTTACTTCACAGACAAAAACTATCCGATTATATATTATATATTACTGTATTAAGATATAAATAATGTTTGTCGGAGAAGCCATTATCAGGGAAATGATTGTCAGGGAAGTCATTGTAACCAAAATGTTATCACGTCGCATATAAAATTGATCAGGGTTCAAAATAATTACCCATATAGCTACATTTATCATTCATTTTTATATAAAGGTCTAAAGATTAACATTAGAGTTAGGTTGGGATAAGAATGTAAACCATTTTTTAACTAGCTCCAAAATAGTTTAAACACTCCAAGACGCTCCAAGACTAGCTTAGATACTCCAGAACCGGTTTAGACACTCTTTTTCGGGTTAATCAAAAAATTTGCAATTTTGGTTGGTTGAAAGTACAGGTGATCTTAATTGCATTTTGCATTAATTATCCTTATCTGTTATTCGGATGATCAATTATCGTTATGACATTCAAAACTATTTATAGAAAAACAAAAAAATCACTTATTTTTTGTGTAGCTTTTTTTCTCACGCTCAGATTTTCAGATTACATAAATACATCTCGAAAAACATCTCATTTTTACTTCACATGCCGATCTTGAAAACTGATCTTAGTGCTATTTTTTCTAATATATTAAAGTTCCGTACTAATCTAGATACTGCTAGCTCCACCTCTTATCTGTTATTCAGCTGACGATGTTTATCAGGATCAAAAGTTATATTTAGGGGTTTTCTGGAATTAACCCAACATTATCAATTTTTAAATTTAAAAAAAATGTTGCCTTATTCAAATCCTCTAACACAAGTAATTATTGTTGGTAAGATAATTCGGGTTATAATATCATAATTTATTCATTTTAATTCACACACTTTATCTTCCATTAAAGCCGTCATATGTTTTCTTACTTCTGGAATATTTAATGCGTTGAATGGTAATTTTTCAATTTTTTTTGTTGATAAATTCGCTTTGTGTTATTAAAATATCGAATATCTTTTATGTAGCGATGGGTGGTGCCGGGCAGCTTAATACAGAAGTTGCCTCTAATGCCAATGTAGCATTATACACTTGTTTTGCCGTAGGTGGACTTTTTGCTGGCCCAGTTGTTAATAAAATTGGTCCATCTTTATCTATGGCTCTTGGTGGTTTAACTTATGCATTATATTCGGGTTCACTCTTATATTATAATCATCAACAACATGATACTTTTCCTATAGTTGCAGGCGCAATTCTTGGACTAGGTATATTTTTAAATAATGTTATATGTATAATAATGAATTAGTTTATTAACATATAACGTTTTAGGCGCTTCGCTACTGTGGACGGGTCAAGGTGCAATTATGTTATCATATCCAACTGAATCTGATAAAGGAAAATACATTGGAACATTTTGGGTGATTTTTAATCTCGGTATATATATTGTATATGCATTCTATAAAAAGTATAAAAAAATTGGTTTATTTCTCAATTATCCTTAATTTAATATAGGTGGTGTTCTTGGTTCTATCGTCCCAATTGCTCTTAATTGGAATTCAACTGCGGGATCTGTAAACGATGGAACCTACATTGGGTTCATTGTTCTTATGGGACTTGGTTCTTTGTTATCTTTGTTTTTACTTCCACCTGATAAAGTTGTTCGCGATGATGGTCACCCTGTTAGTATTCAAAAATTTCCTAAATGGGCTGAAGAGATTACTGGCGTTTTAAGAATTTTCATAGATTGGAAAATGCTTTTACTTTTTCCTATGTTTATTGCCAGTAATTGGTTTTACGCGTATCAGGTAAACATTTTATATCTCAATATATATATATATGTATTTTTTTTAAAAAAACAACTTTAACTGACAAGTACTTAAATACATATTATTTCAGTTTAATGGTGTAAATGCATTTTATTTTGACATTCGTACAAGAGCATTTAATTCTTTATGGTATTGGGCTGCTCAAATTGTTGGTGCCTTTTTATTTGGAAAACTTCTTGACTGGCCAAAATTCGGAAGAAGAAGTCGTGGACTTATAGGACTTAGCATTCTTACAATAGTATTAATGGCTAATTGGATTGGTGGTCTCTTTTTTCAACTTACTTATAAGCGCGAGGATAGTCCCGTTAATATGGATCTATATGATTCTGGTTATTTCCCAAGGATAGTACTCTTTATTGTATTTGGTCTATATGATGCTATGTATCAGGTAACACTTGTCCCTTTTATATTATCTTATATTTATATTATATTTAACTTATTTTATTTATTTAATTATTAATATCAGTGTTTTGCATATTGGGTCATGGGTGCTCTTACTAACGGTACTAATGTGCTGGCAAGATATTCCGGGTAATATTAAAATTGCTAAATTCTATATGTCTGTATTGCGATCAATATTCATTATAGTTTTTTGCATTATTTTAAATTACAGTTATTATAAGGCAGTTCAATCTGCAGGTGGTGCTATATCCTGGAGAATTGATGCTGTTGGAACTTCCTATCTTGTCCAACTTATTATTTGCTGGGCTTTGCTAGTAATCTCAATTCCTTTTGCCCTCCCCGTAGTATTGAATTTAAAGGAAACTAATTATGATTCTAAAAATATCGAAGAGAAAGTTGTCGTGACAAATAAATCGGAAATTCCCGCATGATTGATTGTCAAATTGGAAAATCAAAAATGCACATTTTATTGTAGAATTATAAATATAGTACCGTTATCTAGGGTTGGGGTGGAATATTCTCTAAATATAAGGATTATACGTAGATCTTTTTTGTATCCACTATCTTGCGAATATACATTTTACATCTGACGTTAATCTTTTTTTTTTTTAAAAAAAAAGCATTTCAATATTGAAAAGCTTGGATCCGGATGATCTGGATATCGATCAACAAATATTTAAAATATTTATGGAAAAGTGTATAAATATTTTAAAATAATTGGATAATTAATATTATGCCATGTGAATCCTTACTCTATATTAATTTAATATTTAAATTCTTAATATTTTTTTCTAACATATTTTTAGCGAAAAAATTTAGTAGATTTTATTTATTTAATAATAACTGATATTCCTTAAATAATCTGGTTTAATAACAAATTTGGCTTAACGTTAAAATTGTTTGTGCTTGATTTTATCAAAAATTGAAATATTTTAACTGCAATGTGCTTGTACATATAGTTCCGTCTAAATTGTTGAGACGGTCAAAACCATATGATGATTTGCATAACATATTGTAGTATTTCATATCAAGTCAATTAAGGTATTATAATAAAAATTACTAGTACGTACGTACTGTACGTTGTGACGGGTTAATTTAGTGTCACAATCCCGAAATCAGACTGTGTCAGCCATCCATTTCTATTTTTAGCATATATTTTTCTATTTTATGTATATTTTTGGTTATGCCGATTAGTATTTCCTTATGTGGCTAGAATGGTAAGAGAAGTAAGAGAAGTTAGCAAAGTAAGGGAAGTAAGCGAAGGAAGAAAGAGATTTTGCTCACTTTGCTTACTTGTAAAAATCTATATAAAGGGCTTCTGTCTCGTCTAAAAAAAAAAAGGAGAACTCATAAGAGTTTTTAACTTCGAAATCATCATAGTAGAAGTTGTTCCTTAAAAATATTGCCCTTTTTACCTAAATCGTTCCTAATAGACCTAATTTCTGACCCGATATCTCTATAAGAATCATTGCTTATAAAAATAATAAAAGTAAAAGTTTCATTAACACTGTTGAAATCAGAATAGAAGTATTAGACCCAAATTGCTCTTTTGTAAAAACACATTATAAATATAATTTACTTATTGTTTCAGAATCCCTTGTCCCCATGACCTTGATAGAGTATTTTCTTTCGATTATTCTAAATGTAGAAAGAGAGTATTGAAAGTGTTAAAGCCTTTAATATAATGAAAATACCCTTATTAAACCTTTATTTTTCCCATGACGTATTGTTATCACTAATTAAGATAACAATCAATTAATTGATTGAACAATTAATTGATCTTCAAAATTACCTCATAACCCCATGACATCAGTTAAATTGAAGATCCAATTTCCGACATTGATTTTCCATGATGTAGATCTTGGATTGAATTATACTTTAAACTTCCAATTGCCACAGTCATACAAGTGATACCACACATGACCCCAAAGAAAAGCGAAACTCTGTAGATTAAGGAAATAGAAGCACTAAGAGTTAGAAGTATTGATATGGCAAGATAATAATAAACTAAAAGGATACAAAAGTCTTATCTAAGACCTGAACTTATAACCACAAGATCTAAAAGACTTTGAATCTTAGACCAAGTTAACCACACCTCTATTCGAAGCCTTCTACTTCAAAGTCCTAGAAGTCTCTATATGTTGGCTTGATTATTTTGAGAATTGGAGTATTAGATTATATCTATTTTCAGAGTCTTAGATAGTTATTAGTTGAATTTGTAGATCTTAGGGTATTAGTCAATTGGTGGTATCTGTGAGATAGAACTTTTGAAACCAAAAAGCCAAAATTTACCACCAAAAACAAACTATTTTCTTAGGGAGGGGATAGTTAGAATTAAAGTATATCAGACCTGGATTATTTCGAAGACAATTGAACAATCGATAGAGAACCTGTCAACTATGATAATCTACTAGCATACCAAAACCAACTAGCTGGACCAAACCCTGCTTAAAACATTCTAAAAGAAATAGCTAGGGCTTTTAGGAAAGTTACCATTAATGATATTTTTTCCACTTCTCGCAAAAATAACTAGGTATACATAAGTACCTTTAAGGGTAAAGAAGACAAAGATCCAGTTGAGAGGATCAAAACTTTTGAAAAAGTAGCAGACACTAATAATTGGAGTAGAGCAAGAAAAATTAGAATTGCCTCCGGCCACTTGTCAGAAATTGTTGCAAGTTGGTATAATGATAAAAAAAAAAAACTTTTTCTTTTAGGACTATGAAGACAATCCTGATGATAGCTTTGTACAGGCTTTTACTAAATATTTTGCAACTTTAGAGCAAAAATATCAATGGCAAATTGAATTAACCACTCTAAGGCAAAGGAAAATAAAAAGGTGAATAAATATATATATCAATTCAAAAACTGCTAAAATGAGTGAATCAAGATTGACAAATACCTGCTGCCTAAGTTATTCATATGTTTATAGGAGGTCTCTACAGCAAGATAGCATTTCTTATATCTGCTAACATGCTTCAAACCAGAAGCCAGCAATTACTATAAGAATAAAAATAGTAAAGAGCCTATTTACAAGCTTATTGATGAATTAGCAAAAAAAATTACAATATATAGCTATCAATTAATAATAGCACTGGCAGCTAAAGCTAAAATCCAACTACATCAGCCCAACTACCTCTATGATGACAGTGCCAACCCCAAACAACTAGAAGTGAAGGCATTAAATACTATAACTATAAAAAGAGGGCCACATAGCTAGAAATTGCATTTTTGAATTGTGTTAAAGCCCTCGTTAACCTCATATGAACTTTTAAAGACCTCTAGCATAAACAAGAAATGTCAACCTATGTGATATCTATGATTATAGCCCAGAAGAAGAAAACTACATTATTAAACGGTGTAAAAGGCCTAAAAATAAGACTCAATAGGATGAGTAGCTCCAAAAGAGAATTGCTTGTAAACCCAATTAAACTAAACATTTTTCATCACCTACTGCTATAGAAAAAATCATTTTAGCTCTAGTGCAAACTACAGCCCCACCTCTGCCAGAAGCCAACAATCAAATTAAACATTATAGAGCACTATTACAAGTCGATTTAACACTACTATACACTGATCTTCTAGAATAATGTGCTAATGCTACCTATGCTCAACTGCTGCAAGTTCCAAAGCAAAGACAAAATCTAGCACAAGCTTTGCAATACCCAATTATAACTACGATAGAACCCACTAACTATGCTAAGAACAAAACTCTACAATGAACCACAGTGGCCAAATATCATGTGAGGGTACAAAATAACCCTATCCTAATAGTATTGAACTCCGGAGCTGTGGTTAGTATCATTTCAATAAAATTGGGTCTCACTATAAATGAATCTTCTAACACTATTGTAATTATGACTAACAGATCCTGGGAGCACACTCTAGAGAAACTAATAGGAGTAAAGTTAGCAGTTCAAAAACTACTAATACCCACTGCTTTTCAAGTAATTGAAAATCCCGAAGAGATGATGCTTTTAGAGATAGATTGGTTTCAGAAAGTCTGTACTCATTTATACTTTGATAAGAAGAAACTCATTTTTAGATATTTGGGTAAGTGCATAGAAGTTCCTATTTACTAGACCAAAGAAGATAAAGAAAAACTACCTAAAGTCATTAAAGAAAAGAAAGAAGACTTTTTTAATCAGTACAAAGAGGAAGATAACATGGAAAAGTAAAAAGTTATTATAGGGATGATAATAAATATAAACTCATCTATGACCCTTTAGAATATAATAATAATTTTGCAATATATTTGAAAGCCATTGAAGAACTTCCCACCCTGAATGAAAATATCCAGCCTGAACTGTTATCTGAGAAAATAGTTAATAAGTTAGTATAGGTTAAAGAACTAATTAAAGAACAAAAAGAAGCTGTTATACAGATCCTGAGAAGGTTTTAAAATCTCTTTGCTATAGGTAGTGTTCCTATTGAACCTAGGTTCAAAGTTCATGAACATGTTCAAAGTTTTGAATAAAGAAAAAGCATATAATCG